GACCGAGGCCTGGGCCTTGGCACAGCAGCTGCTGGGCACGAAACCTTCCTCAGGCGCCGTGTTGCACCACCGCTAGTGCGGGTTAATGAGCAAGCTTGAGCGGGTTGTGAGTCCGGCCGGTAAAGCAGACCAAGGTTATCGCTGTGCCTCGGCACCGGTGGAGCATCAGCTCAGCCAGAGGTTTACTTAGGCCCTCTATGTTGGTCCCAGTGTGATAAGGTCAGGAGAGTTGGGCCAGCAGAGAGCAAAGTCCTCTAAGCAAGCTTAAATTTTAATCTAAATGTAGAAATACCTCTGCACTGAAGTGCAGGGTGCCTAGCTTGCTGACACCCAGCTCGTTCTGGCCGCTGGAGGGGTCTCTTCCACTGTCCCCTATGTTGAACTCTGTGCTCAAGTCTCCACAAGAACTTGATTCCTTCTTGGCCCACCCCAGGGGCAGTCTGCAATAAATCAACGCGCAGTATTATCAAATATAAATCTATGATCAAACACAAATCAATCTACTATAAACATGACCTTCCTTTCCTTGGGGAATGTTGTATTTGTCACCTGGGATACTTGTATTTCCTGCTGTATTCTTGATCGGACAGAAAGTAAAATTGAATGAGGTGCTGATAGAAGTGAAATCTCCAGAATTTGAAGAATTTAATGCTGCTTTCCGAAAACACAGCAACAAAATTAAGAACAGAACACAGATCAAACAGACTCTTGCTACCAGAGGGAAATGTAGTAGTGCTATATCTCTAGCTTTAATGCACTGACTGATGCATACTGGGAAATCAGCAAAACTCCGATTATCATCTCTGTAATTTCTTGTCACATCTTGATTCAGCATCCTAAACAAGAGCCACAAAACTGATTAAACTTTGGGGTTGATTCAAGAATGTGTCTTTACAGTAAACTTAGTTTTCATTCTGTGTTTCTGTATGGGCAGGTCTGGCTGCCACTGTCACCTGTAAAGTCACTTTCAGATTAATTTCATTCGTATTTAGCGGTGACTGGTATTTTTCATTTTCAGACTAAATATTAGGTACATTACTTGACATCTCTCTGAATGTTAGACTTGGTCTTTGTGGCATCCCAGGAGAGTGGGAGTTGCTGTAACCTGTAAAAAGACTTGTTACGGTGCAGTATATTAGTCATAGTAGGGGGTTTTGGCCATCACCTCCTGCTTGGCAGTTGCTGGTCTGAGCCCTGTGTGCCTGGTCATGTCCGGCTGTCCTGCCTTGATCCCACATTTCTGGACTTTGTTACAACACATCCAGTCCTGGAAACAAATATTTAAATGTGGCTGTGTCACAATCCATGTGCTACAGCTGATGGTTCAGGGGGATTTTAGCACTGTTTGGAGCTTCACATCCTTCATTTCCACACATAAATGTTTCCTCCTGAAGAATTAAACCATGCAACTTGTCACATGAGCAAAACATGTGACATCTGAAGGTGAAATTAAAAACCTGTAAAAGCTTTATCTAAACCGAAACATCCGATTTGCATTGGCAAGCCTGGTTGTTCACACTTTCCTCTACAGTTTCTGAGCAGAGCTGGATAAAGGGCAGTCTTGAGCTGAACGTGGTGGATGATTCTTCTCTCTCGCACACAGGCCACAGTACGGCTTCCAGAAACTGCAAATCCCAGTAGGCAAAACAACTTGGTTTGCATGGAGGGCCCTAGGCAGGCTGCATAGCTGGGTTGCAAATGAAGGAGGCTACACTCCTTTTAAATTCCTGCATGCCCACCAGCAAAGACGCTGTGTCCCTGTTTTAATGGAGATTTGGTTTTGTTTGCCAAAGGTTGGATGGTACAATGCTGTTCTCCAGCCAGCCTTTCACCTCCCCTACCCGGATGACACGCTGGCCTTCGTGGTCCTCAGCACGCCTTCAATGTTTGACAAAGCTCTTAAACCTTTTTTGAACAAAGAACGGTTAAAAATTATCAGGGATCCTGTGGATCAGTGTGTTTCTCATCATTTATCACGTGTGAAGGAGGTAAGAACCTGAAATATCAATTCTTTTTATAATTCTGGCTTATAACCGGGTGGGATGAGCAGTAGACAAAGCCTTCCAGGTTCCTGCCCTTACTCTTTAGAAGGGTAAAGCATTATTCATGATGGTAAGAGCATCAACAGGCTGTTGACATGCTTTACTTGCATAATCTCTTTGCCATTACAACCCAGAGCTATGTAGAGTGCTTTACACAGTTTGAAAACCCAAGGCCACAGGCCTGCTGATGGATTTCAGTAGCAGGATGTGGAAACCTACAGACTTTGCACATGCCTGATTTGCTCGCATCCAGCACTTATCATAGCGGCAGATCTTCTTCCATGAGCCTGGGCTGATGTTTCTTAATCTTCCCAGAAATTCCCTGACCAGAAGGTGGACATCATCTTTGATTATGAGATTCTGCCGAGCCGAAAGCCCAAGTTCTTGGCACAGACAGCTGCCCATGTTGCTGGAGCAGCATATTACTACCAAAGGAAGGATGTGAAGCTTGATCCTTGGGGGAAAAAGGTGAGGCAAAAACACAGTCTAGGAAGAACCACTAAACTGCAATCACTGAATTGTACACCTGTTGTTTACTCACTAGTTCTTCCTGCAGAAAAATACAAAGTTCAGATCACATACAGATGCGTGTTTTGGACAAGAATAGGAAGCTTCCAAGATTCTGCAGTGTGGTAGGGAGATGGAGAAGAATATCTTGATCTGATAAACCTACTTAGGAGAATACATTTCAGTCTAAAAAAAGACCTGTTGCTTGGAGCATTATAAATAAAAATGAAATACCTCGGTTAATTTCTGTGTTAGATTTCAAAATGGGACCTCTCCTCACATTACAGGGTGGTATGTGTGGGCACAGGAAAATGGGAATGAAATGCAATGCTCTGAGACATGTTCAGGAAAGCTTTCCTTTCTTCTCTGTACAGCACTCCAACAGAGGGCTAAGCGTGTGAGAAGTTGCATCAAAGCTTGATGCTTTGAACTCTAACCATTACTAGAGAAAAAGACATCATCCTATATCCTTTTTTTTTTTCTTTTCTTCCAGAAGATCTATGGTGTATGTATCCATCCCAAGTATGGCGGCTGGTTTGCTATCCGGGGTCTCCTCCTGTTCCCAGATATTCAGGTACTGTTCCTGAAACAGTCTGCCCCTGTTGACTGTGTGAGCACAGAGGAGAAACGAATTGAGCTGCTCGAGCAATTCAATTACCACTGGCAGGACGGCCGCTACAGGGACATCATTGAAGTGAAGGAAAAGTATTCAGAGGAGCAAAAAACCTATTTTGCCACTCCTCCAGCGGAGAGGTTCAGACTGCTAGGGCTGAGCCCAGGGAAGCACATTTCACTGGGTGACATGGCTCCATGAAGGGGCAGAGGGCAAGCAAAGCGTAGCTCATCTGTGACGCCTTTTCTACGGTGCTGAGGAGGACAACGTGTTGATACAGAGAGAGCAGTGTGCAGCGTCTCAGTCCAAACATCAGCTTCGCAGAGTAAGAGGAGGCACAGTAAGAAGGTGGAAACAGTCCGTTTTGTGCTGTTGCTGATTTGGTTTCTCGTTTTGGAAGTCTTTTTTGGCAAGATGCTGATTAGCCTTTGGTTGGGAAAAGCTCAGACACCCTGAACTGGAAAACCAATGCTGCTCATTAGAGAAATCATTTTTGTTAAGAATTTTATTTCCAAATGATTGGGGTTTATTCTGTGTAAGAGTAAAAAAAAGTTAATTTTCATTGTATTCAGAAATATATTTTTTTCAACTGAACTCTTTTAGGTCTTATCCAGCATTTTATTACCCTGTGTCATAGCTCTCCTTAGGGCATAAGTGTCCAGTATTTTCAGTCTTGCCTTCCTTAGAAAGAAAATTTGCCCTGTATTATTTCACTTGCAGTGAAGCTGGCTTAATTTGAGAAATCTTTTAACATCTTTCTTTAATACCCAAAAGAAAATTCTCCAGAGATTGTGGTGCAGTACATGGAGCAGGAGTGAGGAAAACAGAGCCAACAACAGCTGCCTCCTTCAGGGTAGTTACAGACAAGGTCACAGCCATTTCCTCGTGGCCCAGGGTCAGCTTCTAAGAACATGGCGATGTCTTTAGGTAAATTTTAAGCATTTATGCATTGTATAGAGCAGCTGAGAAAGTCTTTGGAAAGATGCTAAAGTCTTTGTGAGTGAGTTTTTACTCATGTTAAGATAGCTGACTGAAAAAGACAATTCTCATGAGCTTTTCCTAAAGTAGATGAGGTGCTGTGCCAGCACACGCCACACGCCCCCCCCAGTTTTACTTCCATAGTTTCCTGTTGTACTTTCTGTATGGGGGAGATCGGAAATCTGCATGTAAAAACCACGGCATGAAGCACTGTCACACATGCAAACAAGCAAGGAAAAAAGAAAATCTTCATGTTACTTACGTTGCTGGATAAAATGTCTTCAGACAGTAATGTAACAGGGATTTTTTAGATTATTTTGTCCCGTTAGATTCATTCAGAGCTTATGATACTGTGAATAGGGAATTAATTTTTATTAGAGCACTTTAATGCTCAGGCCTCATTAAAATAATACATTATAATAACTAAAAATAATATTTTGTGGGAATTTTGTAACTTGATTGCCACATAATGCTGCATATCACTAAAGCACTTTTTCCCTTTCCCCAATATCAACATGATAATGGAAAAATAATCACTTTGCAGAACGGAGCCCTTTTATGTTAACTCTTCATACCTTTTGAAGACTCTGACACTAAGGTTGCCCTCACAATAAATCACTGCTTGATACAGTTTTGCACAGCCTATGTACTAACTAACCATGATCAAAATTCTGCATAACAAGTTTGTTTTCCTGTAAACAGAGTAGTGAGCATGTGAGCACTGGGTTTGTTCAGCGTATTTGCCGTTACAAAAAGGCTTTGTTATCCATGCTTTGTTCACAGCTGACTAAGGCAGACAGCTGATTTACAGTGTGATAGCAGCATTGCGATTTAATTTAAACAAAATAATGACATTTTCAAAAATTCTGTTCTTTTGTAATAGAATTACTTCTGGTTGAAATGTTGGTTAACCTTCTAGAACTTTCCAACTGAAATGTAATTTAACAGGGGCTTGAGATAATTGTTCATATTAATAACATATACAAAATACTGATTCTCTTAGAAGGATAAATACAAAAGTGAATCAGAGTTATATTTTTACATTACAATTTAAAGCAAAATACTGCTTTTTGGAGGTTGATTTCTTACAAGTATTTAATATTTTGTCTTAGTTCCTTCATTAAACAGATTACCACTGCCATTTCATTTCAAATTTTGTAATTTATTTCTCTTCATGTGACATTTTAGTTAATAAAATACACTAAGTTGTAAATAACCCTCAGTAGTGAGTGTTTTTATTTAAACAATGGAATGATTAACTTGTGGAGAGCTAAAAATGTTAAAGTGAGAATTGCTACCCAAGACACACAAAATCCAGTACCTGAAAACAAGAGTTGGTTGTCTGCATAGAAGTTAGTAAAATATTATGGCAGGCTCATCTGAGGTATAAAAAAAAAATAAACCATATAGCACATTATCAATAAGCCTAATAAATGTTTTATCTTTCCCTGGTCATTTCAGCAAGATCATTTAACAGCAAGCACGACACTGTTACTGTTCTTGCAGTAACAAAAGTTCAGGGCATTCACCGATAGGTAAGTGGTATTTGAGGGCTTTTCCCTCAGCAACTTAAAAGTAATGCCTTTAAATACTGGAATTCTTTATTTGTTAAAACATAGTAGGGAATACTGAATCACACTAAGAACAAATCTGTGTTGTGTTTCTGGCAACCCAGTTATGCTGGGCAGAACAGAGTACACATATTTAATAACATACCCATTCCTACTACAGTAATTTTGGAGGGAGTTGGATTGACTTTCTCATAGCCAGGTCACTAAGATCCACAGCTGCACATAGTATTTTTTTTTTCCTTGCTGGTTAGAGTATAATGGTCTTCTTTGTCTTACAAAATTGAAGTTTGAGAACCTGTCTGACTTACCTCTTGGGACAAGACTAGACATGGTGAGGAATGGATCGTTCTTGGAACCTGAGGCATTGTGAAGACATTCATATTTTCAGCACTTGCAAATGTCAAACACGTAATTGCAAACACTTGGATAGATTTACTAGCTCAAGTATCACATTTTTAGACAAGTAAGTTTTTCTCCAAGTCCTAATTTTTAAACATGTATTAAAGTATCTTTTTCCCCTCAATATCACCATTCAGGTGTGTATTCAAGAACTAAAGAGTACCAAAAAGAAAGAGTGAATTTGAATTCTATTTCAGCAACAAGATATTTGCTCTATTTCAAGCTAATAAAATATCCTATGGAGAATTAGTGAATTTGTAATGTCTTCACGCACAGAACACTTACAATTCATTTTCAATTAAAATTTCCTTTTTTTGACTTCATTAACCTTAAAATAACTGAGACTTTTATTAAGATTAAAGACAAAATACCAATTAAATGCAAAGTACAATCTAATCTGGTGACAAGCAGTCATCAGGATTATTGCTCAGAAAGGGAGTAACACTTGAGAAAACACTGTTGCATTGTTTGTTTGGGGTTTTTTGTACCGTAAAGCAGTTACAGCTCAGTGCTGCAAGAATAAGCGCTTAGGTTTCTTTGGGGTATGAAGCAGCATTTGGCAAACTTAACTCCTGATGCTGCCTGATTTCCTTCATAAAGAGGGCAGCTTGTAACAATCCTGTCTTCCTACAGAAGACTAAAGATAGCTTCCTGTATAGTCAGGGCTGGCATGTCAGACTAAAACAGCCAAGTCTTATGAGAATGCACCCTTCTGGTTTTATTTGGGGGGTTTAAGCTTTTTTTATTATTATTTTTAGGGCCAGACTGTCCTCTTCTGGGTCAGAACATGGTCTTTTAATTTGAGACCAAAATTACCAGTGGTGCTGCAAATACACTGTGACTTGAATTTGACTTAAAACCCCAAAATCTCCATCAGTACTCTTTGTTCAGCTCCATGCAGAAATTACATTTAAGAAGTTAGCTTTGAATACTGATTTAAGCTGCAACAGTTCCAAAGTTCTTCCTGTTTGAGGAAGTGGGTTTTGCCATTTACTGCAGTGGGGAACCTCTACAACCTTAACTTTCACCAATTCAACAGCAAAAAAGTCTCATGAATACATTTGTCCACTTTGGTGGATAAGTTGGCTTCCTGCTGTATCACATATCCTGTGTCTGATCATCCATCACATTTGCTTCAACAGCAAACAGAGCACTTCCCTTCTAGGTTCTCAAGGAGGAAACAGAAAGAACCAAGGGATGCAAGTGTGTCTTTCTCTTCTCTTTGCAACTGAGAAAAACAGATAGATGTTCACTTTCCTTTGAAAAACAGTACTTCAGATGAAAAAAATCAGGTGGTATTTTATTTTCCAATAGCTAAAACAGAATAATGAGGAAAGTGGTGGGAAACTTAAAAAAAACCAGAATATTTTATCATAGAATGAGCAGTAAAATATTCTAGTGGAATATATAAAATCCTGCCAATAATCTACTACCATCTGCAAAATGTGATTATATATGTATAAAAATATTTTAAATGGCTACTTCCTGAGAAAGTAAATTACGAAACTATCATTCATGAATACTACATTTGTAATACATTTCTAATGTAAAGTCATTTTTATGGATAGTTGTGATTCAGCGATTAAGCAATTTTACTTGTAATAACTGCGTATGTTTTATTTGCACAAAACACCTCCTAAAGGAACTCTTAAAAAAAAAATTTGCTTTTTTTTGTCCTCAGAGTTTCTGGAACTCATATACCTCTACATGAGGTTGTTTTGGTCTTTTTTTTCTCATGTAAAACAATGCACTGTATAGGAGAAGTCCAGTATGTAAGTTGAAGGTGGGAAACAGTGGTCAGATTTGCTGGGTTGAAAAACACCCCACAGAATCTTAAGTTTATGCAGACTCAGTTTTTCTAGGAATACATAAAACCTTTTAATCCTTTCGAAGGAATTAGTTCGGTTTAATTTCATGTCATAACTATTTGCAGTATTGTTCTGATGAGTCTTTCTGAAATCATTCCCTGTTGCTTCCGTCTTTAACAGGCTCTTCTTCCAAAATATAAAAAAATACTGCAATAAACATGGTAAAGAAATTCACCTTTTTTTGTGTGAAGTTGATGAAATATGTTAATTTAAAATTGCATTAAGTTTTATTAAGCGGAGATTAAAGACTTTTTTCTCTCTTTACACTACATTAATCTCATTTCTCAGTGCAGGTACTTCAAAAATACATTGCTGTAGAACACAGAATCTAAACCTACTGGGCTCACAGTTTCAGAGGACTGTGCGATCTTAACTTCACGTATATTCTTATACCTATAGTCAAATGGTATCTTGCACAGGAA